TCTTTGAAAAGTGTTGCTAAATTATCATTTAAACACTCTTAACATAAATGTGAGACTTTGTATTTTACATCATTTATTAAAACGTGTTGCCAAAAATATATGTTAGATCTTGAATTCCATAGGCTAGGTTGCGGACGGTGTCAACTTTGTTAATTTTTAGAGATGATTATCGTATGGAATAAATTGTAAGCAAGCATGTTCAATAATACTCTATATTTTAAAGAGAATCTTCTATGATTTGTAAAGTATCTTAAATAATTTTCAAAATGAAGAGCAACACTAATTATATTCATCCACTATTTTGCTTTTTTTCATAAGCAATTATTGTTCATCATATTCTCATCTTTTGTTAAAGACTTCCGTCTTCTTTATTAGATAGAGATCCAAGAGATGAATAGAAAACTTATGCAATAATAAATGAAGCATTACATGCTTCATAGAAAGTGGTTGGATAGTCAAATTCATTATTTATTTTAAATTTTTAAAGACGAAAATTGTATTGAACACTTCAAAATAGGCTTCACTCTCTAAAGAGCCTATTGGAGATGTTATTACTTCCAATGAAAATTTTCTATTGTTTTAAAGTGAGTGTGACGTGGGCATCACATGTTTGACTATCTTATCTTGCTCTGGCCTATTTAGCCCTAGCTTATAACTATTAAGTTTATTTTTGTTATTTATATGTTTGTATTAAACTTCCAAAGCGACGATGATTAAATGATATGCTTGAAGCATAAGCTTTCTTCTCCATTGATGTCCTCTTTTTCTTTACGGGTCTTCTGCTATTGCTCTGTTTCTTCTTCTCCCCTTATTGCCTCGTCCCCTCAATCTATCCTACATCAAATTTGATATTAGAGCCAAACTTAGGGAATACTTCAACTCCTATAGCCCAGTTTTATCCGCTGTAACTTCCACCAAGATTTTGGGAAGAGAATAAACTAAACATCCCACTACCACAACACAATCGGCCCTAGCCACCACCTGACCATCTATTTCAATCCAAACACCATCAGTTACACCAATAACAACACCAATCCCCACTACATATGCATGTAAAACCCAAATTATAGCCAACCAATTAACCCATAAACACACCACCTTAAACTAACCTAGTTAATCGTTTCCCATTGCCGAAAGCATCTTCATCGCCTGCACACTCCACCATCACACCAAAGCCGTTGTCGCAACATTTCGAAATACCCACCTTGCTACCACCGCTTCCACATGTGACATTCAAGGGCACCTACCACCGGTTGCTCCTAAACCGACGATCCAAGCAATCAACTCTCTCCTTCGCCGACCTCCTCCACAATCGCAAGTCCCAACTCTAATTACCACATCCATGCCGCCATCTTCATCAGACAGTCGATCCTAAATTGGCATGAAATTGGGTATCTATTTTCAATTGGGAGAGGCATTTTCTCATTTTGCAGTTTATGTGGTTGGATTGTATTGTAATAGACTAATGGGGAGGGGGGAGAGAGAGAGAATAAAAAAATGTGAAAAAAAGAATTTTCTGGTATTATTCATAGGTGATTTTTGTTTCTGTTGATTGACATTCCCTCAGACGATTCAATTGCATTTTGCCACCGTAAACTTCTTCAATTTTCATTGCCTTCTGATGAACTCATATGTTTACTTGAACACACTGAATATTTGCTTTTACGAGTGGACCAATTGTCTTCTGTTTTATGCTCACAACTGTTAATACACTTAGCACGGCATTGTTTTCAAATAAGCTATTAAGACATCCTGAATTTGCTATACAAGTAGCATTTGTTTCTTGCCTTGTGAAATATTTCGCATTATGGCACCCGATTCCCATTTTTGTGATGAATAATGCAAGATATCTTTCTCTTGATTATATCACCATTTGCCTGTCTCACGAGTACATCCATCAATTTGTATGCTATGACAGTTAGGATACTATATACAATGGTTAATGTGAAATACTACCCCTTATCATGTTGGATCTAGAATATGAATATACGATAATTAACATGTTCCAACACTTACTTGTATCTCTAAAAGGAAATCATTTAGGAAATGTTTTCACATCCATAGAGGCTATCATGACCTATATTGGAAGAAAATAAACACAAAGAGGTTTCTCCTATTGCATTTAATGTGGTGGAAAGACTTCTTGAGAAGTGTGTCGACAAGATCAAACCTTACTTTCCACAAGCTATAAAATCTTTAGGAGTTTATTTATATGACTATAGTACAATTCTTTTTTCCATTTTCAAAGAAGTCGAGAGTTGTAAACAGTGTATTATGTCTCCTATTTTGACCACGTCTGTAGTCGATACGCTTAACATCGACATAATTGAGAAAGTACCTAAAGCAATGCCATCGAAGTCAAATATTTTAGATGTTCTAGATCTGATGCCTACTATATTGCATGACTTTCATATTGACTTTGTTTAGTTCTTCCTCAATTACATGAGATTCCACGGGTTGCCACATTGTACTCTAAGGACATTGCTCGATTGCATACTCTTTCTATTGACATTAGGATGTTGCCCACTAATTATCGATACGCTGTGCTACCTCTTCATTATGTTGACAATGTTCCTAAATTTAACGCCAAGTTAAAAGGTCAAATTATTTCCAATCATGAAATTTCTGAATTTACTTTCAATGTGCAATATAAGTTAAATTATTTGTACAAAGGTTTTCTATTTAATTGGCCCTCTCATTTAAATGAAAGTTTTATTTTCAATATAGAAGAATTGTTTCCTAATCGAGGCATATTCGAGCATTCGATGTTGCAATCTTTTGCCTCTACAGGCCAATCTTAGATGCTAGCTTCTTGTGCTCCTCACTATATACACCATGTGAAGATTTTAGAAATGAGTTGCATGAGTGTGTACTTGGAGTCCAAAATCGGTACTCGATTAAAAGGAGAGATCATCCTCCTTGGTCAGCTCATATCCTTGAGGATAAGTTGCCATTTTCATTGTTATCAGCTGTTGAGTTTCGATATTTGGTTCATCAGAAAGATCATCCACAGTGGTACTAATTCAAACACCCAACTTGGAGATTGACGGTAGTTTTTTGTGATTTATCGAGAGTCAAATTTTTCTTCCACCCTAAAAGAATTGATAAGGGCACCACCTATTTGACCATCTTATCTTGCTTTAGACTATTTATCTTTTGTTTTATTAGTTGGGTTTGTATAATGGGCCAACCCAAGTCCCATAACTATTAGGTTTATTTTTGCTATTTATATATTTGTATTGAACTTCCAAAGAGACGATAATTGAATGAAATGAATGATATGCTTGAAGCATAAGTTTTCTTCTCCCCTGATATCCTCTTCTTCTTTCTTGATCTCCTGTTGCTGCTGCTCTCTATTTCTTCTTCTCCTCCCCATCTTGCTTCTTCTCCCCTTGTTGCCTCTTCCCCTCAATCTATCCTATATCAAAGTGACATGTAGGCGTGATAAGTGGGCAAACCCAAGCTCCTCAGCTTGCTTATAGTCGGGCTTGGCTTGGCCCACCTAGTGAACTAGCGTGCACTCGTAAATGGGACAAGCCGAGCACACACCAGTCATTTCCAAAAACTTTGACTTGACTTGTCCCTTGGTGGGGGCAAGCTAAGCCGAGCCAGCCTTTATTACATTATAAGGGAAAAAAAAAAAAAAAAAACTGAAAATTATATTTTCACTAACTAAAGTGTAAGTTATAAGAGTTCATTGCAATTTCCCCCCTGAAGTGCAAAGAAATGGTGAGAATAAATATTCAATTTTGCTAAAAGAATTATGAAGTTATTAAAAAAACTTCTTCCTTTATTCAGACTTGGGACCAGCGACATGATACGTAGGCGGAGTTGAAATACGCACATTCTAATATTCCATGTACATTTTTTTGTAACAAAATAAAATAAGTAGAATTTAATAACGAATAAAAGAAATGAGTTACTCTTACGTTCTAACTTCTTAATCTACAATTACAAAACTGAAAAGATATCGGATGGTTGTCCTCATATTCTTGAAGCCACTAGCACAGGCAAAGATGTGCTTCTATTCGGATTATAATATTGTCCAAGTGATGCATCTCAACCAACATATGGCTCCCATCATAGACCTTAAGTTTGTGAGTGCTAATAAAGCATATGATGATGTGAACGAGTAGTCCATACTAGATAATATTTGGCGTTGAAACCGTTGTGCATTCTATCATTGAAGTAAATTAAAAATGTCGACCCTACTGAAGTCTTGTTTCATATAGATAGATACTCCTAGTATATGAGTTTCATGCATTTCGAATTCAAAAAAAGTTAAAATTTATATAGTTTGAACTGGAGTATGAACTACTAAATCCCAAAATTATTTCTCGTAACGTAGATATATTTATTTCAAATGTAAAATTTATAATATCTTGAACTAAAAACAATGTTCATCCTATATAATTTGAGACGGGAATCAAAAACTACATCTTAAAAAAGTATCAATACGTGTATAGAAATATTCTTGAAATTGTTCTCAATTGTGAAACATAATTTGTACATCAGTCGAAACAACTTCATTTTAAATTGATAGCTAAAAATAGTTATTTCATTCCTATGAGAAATCAAAATTATTATAATTTTGTTCAAAATCTATGTTAAAATAATGAAATTGAATTTCACGAATATTGTTTCAAGAAAATGAGAAAAATTATAGAAAAAACGGTTTGAAGGGCACTGTTTTCAATTTTGCACACATTGCTAAACTTGCTCTTTATACTGACCTTGCTCTCTATAAAGAAACCATTTATTATAAACACATTGCTAACCTTTATAAGAGCAAGGTCGGCATGTTATAGAAAAAAAATATTGTTTCATGAATACGAGGAAAATTATAAAGAAATTATTCTATTGACGATAATATGCGACCTTGCTCTAAATTATTAACTCAAAGGTCAACGTATTTCATTACTTAAATGGACAATAGCGGACAAAGTAACCCAAATCGAAGGGATTTAATTGCACCAAGTTGAGTTACCTAGATATGCAGGTAATTTGAAGTTGAATGATTTGATTGCACCAAATTCAAAATGAGTGACCAGTATGCTCTTCCACTCAAAGTTTGGTGACACAGTACATTTAACCCAACTCCTGATTTTAATTGGGCGCTTTAACCATTCAGCCATGGATGCTTAACAAGGATCCTTGTACATGGTGGAAGGGTTAAGGATTTACCCGGTGTTTGGGACATAATCAAGTTTCATGAACTGCATGTTGGCTTGGCTCTAATTCTGTAACTAAAATCAAGTAATATACAAAGTACCGTCCAACTAGTACACCAAAAAAAAAAAAAAAAATGTCTTCAGAGTTTTACATGCTAACGAGATTGAACATACGATCAAGCTTTGAACAAACCTTGGAAACAGTCCCATCCCAGAGCTAGGAACAGAATCCATTTTAGCATCCTTAAGTGATAGGAATCAGGATATACATTACATTACAAAAACGAAATGCAGAAATTGCATCCTAAACACCATTCTCCCTTCCAAAAAAACTAGAAATAAGGCTACCTAAGCTAAAACTGAAATGGTAAAGCGACACCTCATCCGATGTGCAGTTGACAGGACATGTCAACTCGTCATATATTCAACAGACGCTTATAATCCTTGTCTGCTCATGTGGCACGTCGGAAATAATACCTGCATATCATAAAACTGATAATTTGTATCTCTCACATGCATATCTATATCTACATTTGCAACTGCTTCAGTATTAAAAGCACGTATTCATCGTTATCAAGACATTAACTGGACACTACGAGAAAGTATTGAAGAAGAAAAACAGTTTGCTATCCAATAAAGTCTGTTAAAAATGCATTAAATGAAATTTGGAAACTCTAAAACACAGTTCTTATAAGCGAAGAACAGATTTTAGGAGAAGAAATTGTCTTGTATTTTTATTGAACAATGGAAGACTATATATACAACTGAGGAAATATTTTTCAAGGTAATTTATGTTGATTACAATCCTGGGAAACTAAAAAATAATCAAATTAAGGGAATCTTCCCTTTCTACTATAATATGCCAAGATTGTCCAGACTTGAAATTCGATCCATTAATTACTGCGTAACACTAAATTCCACACAAGCTGCGGTCATCCCAAACTAACAGAGAGAGAGAGAGAGAGAGAGAGAGAGAGAGAGAGAGAGAGACTTACACGTAAATATTTATCCCATATAAAGAAGCATGTTTCCGTAGAAGACGTTCGACGGTATACCATTCTGAACGATCTGAGCCATCCTGATAACCAATCCGTGGCATGTGGATTGAAGCTTCCAAAAGATAAAAGGTAAAGAAAAATGTGAGAGAGAGAGAGAGAGAGCTTATGGAATCTACTTTAAAAAACATACTAATTGAAAAAGTCAACAATTTAATTTGCAGAGAAATACAATAAATTGATAACCTTTGCATGCAATAATTACCGGAATAAATTTCTTTTTAAACTAGATGAGACATATGGTCACAACGTAACACATCAAGAGTTACAAAAAATTTTGAAAATCCATTCATGGGGACAATGCGCACATAGAAAAACACGCAAGAGGATACACAGAGAGAGGAGCTGAAAAAACACGAAACTTAGGGTGCGTTTGGTTTGCATTTCCATTTTTTGTTTTCAATTTTGAATTCATTTTTAGTTTTCTATTTTGAAGGACTATTTTCGAATTACAGAAAATATGTTTGGTTTGTCATTTTGAAAAACAACTTCTCAAAACAGAAAACTAGAAAATGTGTTTCATTTAATATTTTTAGAAATTGTTTTATGACATATATTCGATTAATTTGATTATTTATTAAAACATAATAATTTTATGTTAATATATTACTAGATAATATATATTTTAAACCAGTGAATTTACTATTTTTTCTTGCTACAAAAATAAAATCATAAATCATAAATTTATAAACCAAAAATAGGAATCGTGGTAAAGAATATAGTTAGTCTGTCCTTCATCCTTCTGGATGTATTTTGAAGTCACTTGGATAGTAAAAAAGGAAATAATAGTTTTTTCAAATTTTGATCAACGAAAAAAAAAAACAATAATGGAAATTGAAAAATGGTCTGTGGGTTTTAAAATTATTATGCTTCACTAAATTGTATCATATTACAACATTCTATTTTAAAAGTAATGCTGAGTATCCCTTGGGTTAAAAAAATAAAAAATAAAAAATAAAATAAAAATAAAAATAATGGCGTGTTTTGAGTGTTTTTTGCATTTTTTGTTTTTTAATTGAAAACACTCAAAACGGAAAAAAATTGTTTTGAGTTTCCAGTTATAAATTTTTCCTTGTTTTCGGACACGACGGACCAAACACGTTTTGGGCATTTTCGAAAATTAAAAATAGAAAACGGCTTGAAAACGGAAAACCAAACGCAACCTTAGTTGATATTCACAAAACATTGAGAGAGAAAAATTGAAAACCCGAGGTAGTGATTTTATTCAGAAGCAAGAACAAGAAACATAAAATATGTAATATTAATTACTAAATTGGATAAGTATATCAAGTCTGCAAATGAGAGATTTAATTGTAAACAGCTAGTTAGATAAGTAAATGAAGTCTCCTCTAACATACCAGAATTTTGAGCAGCTGAAAATGAAGCTTTTGCAATGCAAACTTCTAAATCGGAAATAGAGATTTTACTTCGTGGGATTTTGCGCCTGGCATTGTATGACTGTACAACAGACAAAGCCACCCATTGACGAGCATTGCTCTCACTACTGCTATCATCTGCAGAGCAATAATCGATTCAAGGTAAGAAAGTAAAGAAAGAAGATTTGAAGCTTACAATGGAAAAAAAATACCTTGAGTTGCAACAAGGACAAGGACCAGCCACCCCTCCCCCACATATGCCCAAAATAAGTAAATTTGCACTCTTATAACAGATTAAGGAAAGAGCGACAATTATTTTCAACTAATATTGACTTAAATAAGAAGCGAAGGTTCACCCAGCTGAAGGAAGGAGCTTTTATTATTAAAAGTCCAAGATAAAGGGTGACTTGATGCCACAAATCTAAACATATAAAAACTGATTCATGAAGGACTAATTCACAAAATAAAAATTACCTTCTCATTGGGAGTGTGAGAATCCATACGAGGTGTGTAATTAGCATTGCCTTACATTATATGACAAACTAGTAATTCTAATACTAAATAATACTCTCATACAACACATGCTAAAATTGTATAAAGATTAATGCTATGTAGCACCAATCTTGGTGGAAGCGGACCCCATCACTTCATTGTCCAATAAATAAGAAAGCATCCTACTTCATTGGACAAGGAAGTGGTGAGTCCACTAATACTTAGCTCGTGGTGAGCACCAGTGGTGCAACATAGCAATATTCTTGTATAAATTGACAGTTGGAGTTGTGAAGATAATCAAAAGCTTATAGAGATTGTGAGCCATTAATTTGGTGCAATGCAAAAGCAGTATGAAGCAACATTAGATCGAGATTAGAATGGTCTGAAACTGACCTGTAATATCTATTAGATGCACATCACCTAGATGAAGATCCCCAAATTCAGAAGCTCGCTGGTATGCATTTGGAACATTGGCCGAGAGTTTTGCTAGTGCATCAAACATACCCCCATGACCCCAAATTCCAGAATCATCAACACAGCTGCTCAAAGAATATCAGCAACTCAAAAATATGTCCATGCATATCAACTAGGACTGATGAATGGGATATAAAACAAAGTTTTAATCGATAAAATATGTGAAGTTCAATTATAACATTAAGTAATGGTTTTGTGGTGTAACCCCCTCTTGTTGGTTAACAAAATTTCAAACATATCCCTCCCATGAAAAGCTGTCACCCGAAAAGTTACCAACAAAACATAATTTTAGACATATTTGACTCCCAACAAACTGCAGGTGAAAATTATTAGAATAATTATGAAACAATATTTCAACAGCATAACGAAAGTGCAGGATGCAATAATTAGAGCAGTCCTTGGTGCAATAAGCATTAACAGGTGGGAATTTTTTTGCAGAGAATATGACCTAAATATAATTGTAGGCTCTGAAGGACAAACTCTTGATGGTTGTGTGCAGTCTCCATAAACAAAATTAACAGAACTAGAATCTGAGAAATCCTGATCTGTGGGAACCGAAGGTTGCACAGGACTACATATAGACAATGAATGATAACCAAGAGCTTCCCATTTGGATAGTTTTTTCTCCTCCGCCTTCTTCTTAGCAGCTTCAGCTTTGAGATGCTTATCATCAGGAATGCCTCTCCTATTTCCCAAATCTAACATAGTACTCTCATTTGATAGTGATGCTTGCTTGAACTTCTCGACCCATGACAAATATGCAGCCTCGTCAAGACCAGGATCAAAATCGACAGACTCTGAATCCTCTTTCATGACTAGATCACCACCACCCAGCACATCCACGTGATTGATCTCAAACTTTTTATCATATATATCAGCTTGTGGCTCATGGCGGATTGCAGTTATCTTTTCAGCCAGAGCAATCAATCCACTTTTATTTACTTGACCCAATTCTTTGGTGCTCATCTCAGTAGGGTCAAACATATGTAACCCGAATATAGCAGATCGCAAATCACCAGCTTCAGTTCCAGCAATGTCCTTTCCCTCATTATCTAAATTATCCTCTCCCACAACGTTATAACTAAGCTGCAATTTCCTTTCTGCTCTACGCATAATAACCTACATTCAATTCAACATTAGCTGTCAGTAAAATATAACCATCATGACAAAGTCATCCATTCCATCTTACCTCTTCTATTGTCCGCCCTGTAACTAAATTTATAGATAAAACATGATTTGTTTGACCAATTCGGTGTGTGCGTTGCAGAGCCTGCTTGTCTACCTGCGGATTCCAATCTTGCTCATAAAATATAACCTGCAAAGTACAAAAATGTTTTTCATAATTTGTTGGGAATGCACAGATCATATTGGCAATGGATAATACTCACTCAGCAACTTCATAAGCATCCAAAAGAAGGAAAATGCAAACCTCAAGAAAGGTTTAGTTAGAATCAACTCTATGAAAGGAATAAAAAATGTTATAGAATGACCTCTTTATGCTGTTATTTTTTTTTTTCCCCTATTTTTTTTTTTTTTCAGGCATAGCAGCAGAGCCAGTTCTTTTATTGCAATGGCAAGTTAATTACATGTTGAGCTCACATCTCAGTATCAAACTGTATCATAAGAAACAATTCTGTTGAAATCTGAATAAACAAGTTAGAATACCTGAACCAGGTGCTCACCCTCCTGATATGGTTCAGGCTCAATGCCAGGGAAAAGATATGGGTGACTACATGTTTTCCGCAGCTGAATTACCTGAAAAGGAAGTGGAAAATTTTGCATGAGATGAGATGCAATACTAATGCATTGTAGCGTGAATATGAGAGCACAAAGCACCAAAAATAGAAAACAGATACGCCTGGATAGGAAGACTTATACTTACAACATTGTGCAATGACTGGGCATTTGAAGCTCCAGAAGCAAGTGCGAGCAGCTTTGGAAGTTCCTTCCTAAGGATTGATACATAAACCTTCTTCTGCAGGGGCACTAAAGGGGCCATCCTGTCTCCCAAACAAAAATCAAAACTTTCTAAGTAACACTTGAGAGTATTGTTTTTATATGAAAAGTACACTAGCTTCAACAAGTTCAACTATTGAATGTTTGATGAACTTCAGGAAACTCCATCGGGCAGTAAAAATAAATCACATAATTAAGAAACTAACATAGTTATCTCAGTAAGAGGTGGCAGCGAAAGAGTTCCAGACTCAACTAGCTTATACTTGGTTCTTCGAAGCATGAATGCTCCCAGTACGTACTTCAAAATCTTGAATTGCTCCTTCGTCTTTGCTGCATCGTGTCCTGCTCGAATAAGTTACAAAAAGGATCAAAAAGAGTCTCATTACTTTCCACTCGCCCCATTTAGATGGAAATACTTCCATCGTAGAATCGAAAGCATTCATTATAGATGGTTGAGTTTGTAAAGAGGTCCATAGTATTTAAAAATTTCTGTATGAATAAACAATAATTCTTTTGAAATTACACTAAAAGGTTCGACATTCAAGCGGATAACCTTGTGCATTTTAAGGAGAAAGCACGTGAATTTGAATATATGTCGGTACAAAAGGTTACTTGAAGGCTCTCCAGCTTCCTTGAAGGCAGAAAGAAATTGCTCCAGTTTTCCGAAGATTGAAGGCAAACAGAAATGCATCAATGCCCAAAGTTCAGTAAGATTGTTCTGAATGGGTGTACCAGTCAGCAGTAATTTTCTTGGCATGACAAACGGTTCTCTTAAAACAGTATATAAAACCTGTTAAAATTTTACCATTAAGATGTAATGATGGTGAAAAATTAAGCTAAAGAGAACGCATTTGAGAATAGCCAGATGACACTATATATATATATATATATATATTATTAAAAATGAAGGACAACTAGAATATCAAGCCGTAAAACAATAAATTAAGCCTCCGTTTGGGAAGAATTTATAAAGAAATAGAATAAGTAGTGAATAGGTGGACACTACTTGTGCGAGCATTGGAAAGTATAGTCAAAAATGAAGTTTGAGCATTTATAAATGATTTATAAATTTGGCAAACGGAGTCTCAATTTGAAGTTCAATATTTTTAAAACAAGCACTAGGAACAACTGGCAGCTTAAAAGACCAACATATAGCAATGTAAGCAAACAACAACGTACAGTCTGCACAGTGTAGACATTCCATTGCATTTTAAAACAACTTATTAAAAATATCTCTACACTCACACTGGAAGGATTTTTGAGTCTTTGTGCTTCATCAATTACTACATAATGCCATGGGAATTGGGACAGGAAATCCTGATCGAGCAATGCTATGTCATAGGTAGTCAACAGCACATCGAATGGCAATTTCAGTGTCTACATAAAAAAGAAGCAATCACAATGCTGACATTTGGAAGAGTAATACAGAATTATATCCCCAAGCATTAGCTACAGACAGCCTAAATTATATGTTTATTTGATTGACATAGAATACATTAAGGATCTGAAACTTACATCCGATGGTAATGACTGCTCTTTTACATTCTCGTACATGTCCCTGCGCAAATTACGTCGATGTTCTTTATCTCCAACATAACGAAGTAGTCTCAATTTTGGAGCAAAATTTGCTACCTCAGACACCCAGCCACCAATCACACTTAAAGGACATAATACCACTGCATATGGTACCCACTATATAAGAATGCAATAATCACCTAAAAGATTTTTATGGAAACTCCACTTTCACATTCCATATATCTGGAAATTTCAATTTTTGTACTGCTACTTTACGTATGGTAACAAATAAAATTTCCACTAAAAAACTCTGTCCAAAACAGAAAAAATGGAAAACTGAAAAATGCACCATGTATAAGAGGTGTTATTACCATTTACATGCTACATACTTGAAATCAGTAAATTACATAGACATAACAGAATATGTTATTTGTTACCCCATAAAAATAGCAGTATGTAATTTTGTAACTTTCTGATATGTGGCCACACCCTTTATATGGGTGTGTTTTGAAAATTCCCAACTTTTAGTAAGTGCGTATAATCAAGATAAAATGCTTTCACTCACAAAATGGTCCAGGAGTCCTTTGACATACTTTTAGATAACTTAGAAGAGAGATGGCTTGCAAAGTCTTCCCCAGTCCCATCTGTAGGCAAACCAGTCACAGAAATGAAAAATCATGGCATTTGACAGATTAAAGCAATAACTTTTGTGCTTTTAAGACTTGCTGTTATACTGGCTTTTCTACAAGGACAGAATATTAGCTACCGGATGTACAAGGGTGACAGTCTCACTGATTGCCCATAAAACTCATAATCACTACATCATAGCAGACTCTCCATCCCAAAGATCAAGTATTACATGTTCTAAAGAGCTCCTTCCCAAAAGTACTCCGAGCGTACTTGAAAATGTCGAGAAGTGCTAAATACTCTTGTGAAGCCTACTGACAAACTATAATATTTAAATTTTCATACACCAGCTGTAGTTTACCTCAACTAACAGGACATGATTCCAGTTTCTAAATATATGTATACTGTGTGGATACATATTATATGGCAGGTATGAAGGGAAGTCTGACATTTTAACCTAGATTTAACAATACAGGATTAAATAGTAACCCAATTAGATCCCATATATTTTCAACGAGATTTTGAGAAAAGACTGATTGATCATTTCCTCCTCACTTCTTATAATAACCCTTAAATTAGCACTTCAATTCTTAATAGCCATGCAGCTCCACCGCAAAGTTCATGCAAATGATGGAGATAATTGAGCTTTTCCATTAGAATGAGCAGGAGTCAAATTCAAGTCTTTTCAGCCAGTACCATGGCTGATAATTATCAAACAAAAGCACTAGTAATTCAGCAAAACATGACTTGGCCCGTTGATCTAGGTTCTAAAAAGCCCCAGAATCCTACCTCATCTCCTGCACCAAAAAATCAAAAGAATACATCAAAATAAGTTAAAAAGGCAAATATATCAAAATATATCACCACTCCATCGGGTTGAATACATGGTGGTAGTTAAATTTGAGCGGAATTTCATGTTAGCGTTTATTTTAACAAGAATACTAAGCTTTAAATTTTCGGTTAATCAAACTAGCAGACATTGACGGACTGACTAAAATGTGAACAGTGACTCAATTAAAACAAAATTTAAGTCTAATGACCGCTAGAAAAACTAATTGCTTTACAATTTTGCGAGAGTATGGAGTTTGAATGAAATGAGAGATTAATACCGAGAACGACGTTGACCCCGAGGTGGAACCGTCGGATGAGCCACGAGATGCCTTCTAATTGGTGAGGCTTAAGAGTGGCGTTGATCTGGAGGTCGTCGGGGTTTATATTTGCCCCTGCGGCCCGTAATTCTCCGGCGTAGACGTATTTCGCCGCCGCGATTAGTCTCTGCGAGTAGTTCATGTTTCGGAGTTTTGGGATTGGCGGTGGAGGAGAAAGGGGTTTGAGCTTTAAATTTCGTAAAATGACGACTATGACCTTAGTAAAATAGGCAACCACGGATGCTCCAAGGGTATTTAGATAACAGCAGTGAAGGGTAAAACCGTACACTAAATTGCAGGTGGCGGATCGCGAAAGTTTCCAACTCCTTGGTTAAGTTCCGAGTGAATTCAACACCCTGTGGGCTCACCGTGTCCTAACTCGTTTACATGTATTCGAGGAAATATAGCGGCAATATCCCCAACCATTGACGTATGTTTCAATTTAGTTCCTAAATAGTACATTTAAATCATTTAATTTAGCTGAAGTTTCCAACATTTCAAAGAGGGTGTTCGGGAGTGATTTTTACTCAAAAAAATAATTTTTTAATTGTTATTTTACTATTTCAATCATAAAATTTGATTTTTTCTTTCATAGGAGACCTCACGTTTCTCCTAACGGTCAAAAATCAATTCTCAAAATCGCTCTCACATGGGGCCAAAATTTTCAAAGTAGCATCTATAAAATATTTTAACAATATATTTTATATGATTCATAACTTATCAACCATGCATTTCATTAACATTTATCAAAATCCGCTAAAAATTTTCTGTCTAATTGAGCCACGTTTTTGTACTAAGAATGCATTTTGAAATAGTAAATTGATAGCAAATATATAGTTATTTTATTTAAAATATGCGATTGAAAAGAGAGAGAGAGAGAGAGAGATATTCTGGATGATCAAAAAAGTGCCTAATATAATCACCATCAAACAGAGACATAATATAATAGATTTCCTGAGCTACTTTTATCAATGCCTGGGATGTACTCATAACAAATACAATATTACAGACATTTGTTTATTACACTCGAAACTTTTCTTATTGTAAGATTGATTTGATCTAAATTTTTTTAAGACTAAATTTTGTTGAAAGTAATTTTTTTGACAATGTATTGTTAAAAAGTAAGGACAAAATTAAGAGAGCTAATTGTTTCAATGGTCACTGAACTTAGGTCCATATTTTGGATTAGTCACTGAAGTTTCGAGTTTTGGTCACTGAATTTAGGTTTATATCTTCGATTGCTCACTAAAATTTAAAATGTCGAGTTTTGACCACCGAACTTTAAAAAATGTTATACGTTACTCACTGAAGTTTGAAAAATATTGTATATTACTCACTGAACTTTAAAAAATATTGTACATTATTCACTGTAAACTCGATATTTTTCAAAATTTAACAGTTATACAAGTGAGTAACGTACGATATATTCCAAAGTTCAGTAGTCAAAACTCGACGTTTTAAATTTCAGTGAACAATGTTAGACATGGACCTAGGTTCAGTGAGCAATCGAAGACATTAACCTAAGTTCAGTAATCAAAACTCGGCATTTTAAATTTCAGTGATCAATCAAAGACATGACCCTAAGTTCAGTGACCATTGGAACAATTAACTCAAATTTAGAATTTACATACACACTATTTTATTATTTGAAGGTGGTTGAAAATAAATTTAAAAAATACTAACTAAAAAAAATACTAGAAAAGGTTCATGTAGATTAATTCTAGCCCCCCAGGGCACATTCAAGTTGGCGGAACAATCACATTGGGGGCTCTGGAACCAAGTGTTGGGAGTTCGATTCCTGGTTGGAGCAGCCAAGTGATGTAGTAACCAGAGGAAGGGTTGGAGCAGCTTGGTGATGTAATAACCACGGAGGAGGGTCCCTTTGGGGAAGGAGTAAAAGCCATGTGGAAACCTGGGAACCAACAAGGGCACAACCTGCGATTTACCTCCACTAGTCACTGAGGGGCCGGGGGCTAGAGGTCCAGGATTTAGTCCGACTAAGTTGGGACACCTAGGTTTGGTTAATTCTAATCGTCACCAAACAATGTACTTTGTCTCCCAAGTGGCAGTTCTTCAAAACCCTAAAACCATGTAGTGGCCCCATTGCCACAAGTTGAAGATCCACACGATTGGAGCTACATTCATTGGATTATAGAAGATGCAACCCTCCACCCCAACAAGCCTCGAACGGAAAACTCGTATGAGACAAAGAATCTTAAATAGAATACCCTTTAATTTAGTATTAGGAAAATGCATACAAACTTGAAAAATTATTCCATACGTTTTGATGCAAGGGTCAATTTCATCATTTACGAACATCTATCTACTCATATTTATTAGTTACTCGATGAAAATTACGATACATCATATCAAATTACTCAACGATTATAGTTTTTCGAAACCCAAAAACTATGCAGTCCCATTACCACCACTTAGAAGATCATCAAAATTCGAGCAAAATTGATTAGACACCATCCCCACCCCACTTCCCAAAATTGAAAAATTCCCATGCATTTGGTCTAATTCAGTATGTTTTGGAAGTTTCCTCAATGGTATAATTGAGAATGAAATCGTCAGATTCCTCGTTAGACGGCCATGGTAGGGTAGGTGGGGTCTCCTTGTTTGTCAGTTTGTTGACAGTATCAATGCCGACAACACTTCAAGGTATCAAACTTATAATCATTAATTAATTGTTTATTGCACCATTTTATATAATTAATTATTTAACATATGTAAGTGCCACTTAATTAGTCTTCACAAAATCATTCAATAAGATGATGATTAATTGTAGCTGCTTTAACTATCGTCCGGTTAATTTGGTGACAAGTGTTAAAGAAAGTTGATTATTTTAAAGTCTTACGATAACTTTTTATTTGTGAAACTCGCTAATTTCTTCGTTCCATTTCTCTTTATAAATTATTTTAAGTTTGTCAAATGGAAGCTAAATATGAGTTGATCTAGTTAAAAGGAAGAGAAAAATAAAATTCAAAATCGTTATGTTGTTCAATCTTGTCCAATACCATTGCTTAAAATAGGCTCTTATTCAAAATTCTAAGAAATTCCAAGTGAGAAGGCTTCTATTTATTTATTTTTTTATTTCTTTATTTTTTGTTGGTGGGGAAGGGGATATTTGGAATAGTGATTTTTTGAAGAAAAGTCATGCTACATCTACATTGCAAGGAGACAATCGTCTTGGAAGAATGTGTAGTTAAATGGTTGTGTGAATATATGATTAAAAATGAGTATGAGAATTAAAGAATTTTATTTTAAAAGAAGACAAACAGGAACTTGGTGAAGTTAAACAAGGATTTGTCTTCAAAATATGAAATAAAGTATGAGGCGTAGTTGGTCTACAATATTGTTGAATGAAATTAAAATAAAAAAAAGTTTTAGCCTCTATTCGATGGGAATTAAAATTTGATTTTTAATAAATTTTAATAAAAATTAATGAAATATGTGGCTGAAAATTGTAGGTCCTATAAAATATACGTTCAAAATTAGTTATGGGAAAAAATCAAAATATTAAGTATGCACCAAATCAATTTTCAGACATTAAGCTTAAAAATTCAAAAATAGGTATTTATTTATTAATTAAAAATATTATATTAATAATAATTAAGGTCACAATTATACAATTCATGATCATAGATATAAACTTATTTCAATGGTCACAAATAAAATTTTAAAGCTTAATAAAATTTTTAGGTCGTAATTTAATTCATCAGTCACAAAATCAAAACATTTATTAGTCGCGATTCATATCGGTTACATATTATTAAATTAATTAGTCACAATTAATTTCACGGTCACAGCTTAGTGACCACGAAATTAATTGTGAATTACAATTCCATTTTTTGGATCACATATTATTTATCAGTCACAAACACCTCTCGTCGCGCCCCATCCCATCCCATCCCATCTACCCATGACAACCACACCGTTGTCGCCGTCGCCACAACAACTATCACTTCACCCAATCGTGCAAATCTACCACCACAAGAACCACACTCTGACTGCCATGAGCATCACCGACTCTAAAATCACCGTCTCCAAAATTACCACCACCACTGCACAACGTACCCAGAACACATCACCACCAATACCACCATCTCCTTTATCTCCATCCACACCACAACCACCATCCCACCAAAAAATCCACAGATCCACAACTACCACCACAGCACACTATCACCACCACCTCAAAAACCATAGCAAAACATGCCACAAAAACCAACGCCCCAAGAACCTCCACAAGTGGTACTGTGGTTAGGAAGATATTTGAAATAGTGATTTTTTGAAGAAAAGTCATACCACATGTACATGGCAAGGAGACAATTGTCTTGGGAGAATGTGTGGTTAAATGGTTGTGTGAATATATAATTAAAAATGAGTACGAGACTTAAAGAATTTTATTTTAAAAGAAGACAAATAGGAACTTAGCGAAGTTAAACAAGGAATTGTCTTCAAAATATGAAATAAAGTATGAGGCGTAGTTGGCCTACAATATTGTTGAATGAAATCGAAATAAAAAAAGTCTTAGCCTCTATTCGATGGGAATTAAAAATCTGATTTTTAGTAAATTTTAATAAAAATTAATAAAATATGTGACTGAAAATTGTGGGTCCTATAAAATATACGGTCAAAATTAGTTATGGAAAAAAATCAAAGTATTAAATATGCACCAAATCAATTTTCAGACATTAAGCTTAAAAATTCAAAAATAGGTGTTTATTTATTAATTAAAAATATTATATTAATTGTAATTAATGTCACAATTATACAATTCATGATCATAGATATAAACTTATTTCAGAGGTCACAAATAAAATTTTAAAGCTTAATAAAAATTTTAGGTCGTAATTTAATTCATCAGTCACAAAATCAAAACATTTATTTGTCGCGATTCATATCGGTTACATATTATTAAATTAATTGGTCACAATTAATTTCACGGTCACAGCTTAGTGACCACGAAATTAATTGTGAATTACAATTCCATTTTTTGGATCACATATTATTTATCAGTCACAAACACCTCCCGTCCCGCCCCATCCCATCCCATCCCATCCCATCCCATCCCATCTACCCATGACAACCACACCGTTGTCGCCGTCGCCACAACAACTATCACTTCACCCAATCGTGCAAATCTACCACCACAATAACCACACTCTGACTGCCATGAGCATCACCGACTCTAAAATCACCGTCTCCAAAATTACCACCACCACTGCACAACGTACCCACAACACATCACCACCAATACCACCATCTCCTTTATCTCCGTCCACACCACAACCAC